TGCCAGGGTGGACTGCATTCTGATGGGAAGAGCAACAGAGAGAGTAGAAGATGCCCAGCACAGCGTTGGGGGCAGCTTGGGGGCAGGCAGAACCGAAACGGACCGGTCCTGGACGCCCCGGCCACCGCACCCTGCACTAGGCACCCAGCCAGTGGGCAGCTGAGGGAGGGGACAGCCACCTGCACCTCCAGCTCCCACCAAGGCTCTGTAGGCCCCGCCTTGCTCTGCACCTGGCCGGTGCCTGGGTCACAGATCTCTGCCCACAGGACACCACAGCCGGAGTGGTCAGGCGCTCCAGGAGGCAGTGGGGACAAGGCACCGCTCTTGGGGCTGGGGAGCGGGCAGCTGTCCCTCCCCTCCTCCTGCTTACTATCTGGGGGCTGGTGAAGAATGAGGCACAGGCTGGGAGCTGGGCGTCCAAAAGTTGAGCAAGGTGTCACAATCCACAGAAGTGGAGACCACAATGAGTCCAGGGAGAGGAAGGAAGGGGCTGAGCTGGTGGCACCTGGAGTCTGAGTCCCAGTTCTCCTCCAAGTAACCAGGGTGAGCACAGTGATAATACAGAGAGCCATGGGGGTAAAAAGCTGAGCTCTAAGGACCCACAGGCATTGTGGGAAGTGCCTTCCTTCTCTCTCCTTCTATCTTCCATCTTCTAATACGGCCGCTGCCTAGAGCCCCAGGTGCACAATGCGATAAATGAATAAAGCAACCAATGCCAGGCACAGACAGCGAGTCACCACCCAGGAGCTGAGTCCCACACCCTGCCCCTCAGGAGCCACTTTCTCCACCTCCACTCGCTCTGCCCTTGACTTTGAGAACAGGCCCAGGAGGGCAGCAGGGAACAGGCTCTCTATCTGAAGATGTTAGGAAAACCAGTGACTTCACATGCCTCAGTTTCCCTAGAGTGAGTTGTGCTTAGGCTGTGACAGCCATCAGGATCTCCTGCAATGGGACGGCAGGCACTGGGCTGTCACCATGAACCCCACCTAAAAATAATGAAAGGGAGTGTAGACACTGAGCCAAATCTGATGGTCATCCCAAGGTTCAGACTCGGGCAGACTCGGAGATGGTGAGGGAGTGCCGTGCCCACTGTCTAGGAGAGTACTCGGTGCCCCTGGGACAGGTGGGGGACACTACCTGGTGCCTCTGGACCCTGCCACAGAGCCCTCAGGTGGGGGACACCGCCACAGAGCCCTGCTTATAGTGAGATCCCCGTGTCATGGCTGTCATAGGTAGCTCTCAGGCTGCATAAAGTCCTTGTTCCCACAAAGTAACTGCAGGACTGGCTGCCCCCTGGGGGCCAGCGATGACCTGCACATGTCGCCTGTGTATGGGGGGGGGACAGGAGCAGAGGCCGGTGTCCCTCTTTGTGCTTCACGTTACCACAGGCTTCACGGGCCTGCAGCCTCCAAAGCCCTCCACAAAGGTCACTCCTCCATCATCTCCTGTGTCCAGATGGCGGACACAGCTTCAGGATTACATGGCAAGCATGAGACAGACCCACAAAGCAGAGCCACCAACAAGGTGACATCGGCTCTGTGTTCTCAGAGGACCAAATCTGGGTGTGAGGAGGCTCCTCATGGGGAGGAGCCACTCTGAAGGTCAGGCTGCCTTGCAGCTGGTGTAGAAGTCCTTATGGTCCACACCCAGATGTCCCCTGGGCCTTGTGCTCTCATAGGAGGGACTTTGGGGTGCTGGCTGCACTTTGGAGGTTTGGTTGGCTTGCTGTTCACGGTGGAAGCGGTGGGTCCCTGGGTGAGACCTGGGAGATGGTGGGCCTGCCCTCTGCTTCTCTTTGTCCCTCCTCACTGCTGCAGGCTGGACACGTGAGCAGCTCTCCTCCATCAGGGCTGCTTCCGCCTTGACGCCAGCAGAACCGCAAGGATGAGACCTTAGGAAGCAGAAGCCAAAACAGCCTCTCCGCCCTTCCATTGCAGGTGTCAGGCCGGGCCACACACCAGCACCTCACCCACGCACCTCCCTCATGTCAGTACTCCACTCTTAGGACAGGCATGGCTCTGCTGTCACACTGTCACCAGCATCAGTGCGGCCTCCCCCTCCTTCATCCTTGCTCAAAACATCAGTCCCACCACCACCAGCAGCACCAGCAGCATCACTACCACAGCCAGCACCAGCAGCAGCAGCAGCACCACCAGCGGAGCACTACCACAACCCCGTACCAGCTGGACCACAGTCTCCTCATGGTCATCTCAACTACAACCATCACCACCATGACCGCTGTGCTCACGATAAACCATCACTACCACCACTGTCCTCACGGTCACCATGACCACCAGCCTCCCTGTCACCGTCATCGGCTCCATCCTCCCGTCGCCACACCCCAAGGGCCATGGCTGCTTCCACTCCCGTCCCCACCAGCTCCTGCTCACGTTCTCTGCACCACCACCACTGCCCTCCCACCAAGCAAACCATGACCAACATCTCCATCACCCGCCGCTGTCTCCCTTCCTGAACACACAGCGATCACTACTGCGACTGCCCCTAGCACTACTACCGTGCCCGTGTGGCCACCATCACCACTGTCAGCTGTCACCCTCACCACGCAGCATCCTCTGCTGTGCCCACGATGCCTAAGACACGCATTTGTCCATATTGTCATGCAGTCACTGTGTTCGCTGTGTCCTTCCCACTGAGTGTGGCCTCCACAAGGACAGGGAGGTCCTCCTTCACACAGCTCGAGCGGCACCTGGCTCACAGGAGCCGACTGGTGTGGGACAAGGAGGGCCTGGGTGGAGCGGCCACAGACCACAGCAGCTAGCAGCGCGCTCCTTTGGGCCCTCCTCTGCACTGCAGCGTACTCGGTGGTGTTCTCATGCCGCTGCTCTGAGGATCAAGCAGCTGGAGCCCGGGATCCCTCCCAGGGTCACATGGGCCCAAAGTGGCTGGCTCAGACCTCCGCCCACCGGCTGACCCCAGGGACTGTGGCCACCACTGCGTTGTACTTTGCCCCAGCGCTTCCTGGTATTTCTGGCTGTGAGCTGGCCCAGCCTTCATCTCGTGGGAACCTCGGTGTCCTGGGAACGGGGGCTGCCTCAGGCCTGACAGACTGGGCAGCCCGGCTACCCTGCGGCAGCCTACGCCCAGATTGTATCCTCGAGAAATATTCTTTTTCTCAGGGGACTTTTTAAACTCTGGGCCAAGGGTTAATTGTGTGTGCTGCTGCTAATGAGCTTCCTGTCTTCGAAGGGGAGAACAAGAGCTCTCTAGCAAACACAGGCTCCACGTCTGAGCACACCCCCCGCCCTCTACAGAGGAGAGCGATGTGGGTGCAGTCACACAGCACAGCGGGATAGACAGAAGCAGCCTCCTCGGTCACCAGGTTGGCCTCGGCCACCCTGCCAGAGGAAACAGCGGGGGCCAGCAGGGGAGCCAGCAGGAAATACCCTCTCCACACCCAGGTCCTGCAAGGGGGCGGGGAGGAAGGGAGGCAGCGTCCACGTGACGCGTTTGGCTTCCTAAGAAATCTTGACCTTGCAGGCAAAGAAATGCCACCAAGCCCCCGCTGGCCTGGCTCCATGTTCTGAGCAAGGCTCCCGGGAGGCAGGACCCTTGGTTTCACCTCCTTCTGCACTGCCCTGGCAGCCCCACAGCCCAAGGGACACAGCACCGTCACCCGGGTGCATGTGTGCCCCAGTTCTGTAGGCCAGGTGACCAAGGATGGGGAACTAGGGGCTCTGCTAGGAGCTACAGGTGCAGCCCAGGCCTCCTCAGCGCGGCCCACAGATCTGAGCTCCAGGGTGCTTCCAGGGAAAGGGCGGGAGGCCTCTGCTGCTCAGCTGTGACCACAGAACAGAGGCAAGGGCAGGGGCCCCTCTCATCGCGGGCCCCTGTATTTACCCTGTGCTCACCATGCCCTGCCTCTCGAGTTCTCACTCTGCGCAAGGTGGCTGCAGAGGCCGCAGGGGGTCCTCCGCAGTCCGCGCTGGCTGCTGACTGGCTCTCCAGAGCCGCCCGTGCTTCCCAGCCCGAGTCTCTGCCGCAGGTGGCCCTGCAATGCTGGCCATGGTGCCCCCACTCCCTCCAAGGCTCAGCGGGAGTGCTGCCTCCTCAGTGACCCTTTGGGGTCCCTGTCTCAGCCAGAAGCTGCCCTTCATCCATTGCCCCAGTTCCTGCCAGCTGCATCCCTTCCGGCCTCTCCTTCGGCTTAAGGACTGCTGTGATGCCAGGTGAGGTAAGGGTCACTGCAGGCTCAGGAGGCCTCCAGCGCCTCTGCCGAGGACAACCGCAGTGACTTGGGCTCTGAGAGTCCAGGCAGCGCTTCGCCCCACAGGAGTGCTGCATGGCTGTCTGGGGACTCCCCCCTCCCTGGTAGCCAGGGCTCCACCCTTCCCACTCAGGTCCAGGTGGCCTTCCTGAGGTCCAAGTCAAGCCCAGAGGGGAGGGGGGTAGGAAATCGCAGGAAAGAGTGGCGCTCCCGCCTGCGCCCTCCTCGGGGCTTCCTTAGGGGCGATTCTGTGCTTGCTCTCCTTCCGTGACCACCCCTCTCCTGATCCTGAGAGGGAGCCCAGAGAGCAAAGACACCCACCAACCTCATTTCCTCCTTTTCCCAGGTGCCGTTGCACTGAGTTGTAGCCAATGCGGAACACCTCTTTCCTGTCCGGCCTCTTTAAGCCTCTCCCAGGGCAGGATCTTGGGCTGTCCACGAGGCCTCCCAGGCGATTTGGCCCACACAGCACCTGCTGATACGGAGCATCCGCAGATGGATAAGGGGTAAGGTCAGGAGACCCGAAAATCGCACAGTTCCTCCTTATAGCGTGATCTCAGGACAGAAGGGCGTGTTTGCTGAGCAGTGGGCAAGCACCGCTTCTGGAGCCCCCCTCCACCCGCCACCCCCGCCCTCTGTCACCGAGACCCCAGCTCCTTCCCGAAAGGCCCATCCCTTCTGCTCCTCGGTCGGTTCTGCTCCGTATCCCGGCCGGCTGGCACCGCGACTCCTCCAGCTCTGCTAGTCCAGCTCTCTCTCTCCAAGTACTAAAATGCTAACTATTTATTTTTAAGATGGGAGAAAATTACAACTTGGAATTGGCACATTTTTCCAACACCAGTGCCTTAAATCACTGCCACTCTGCAGGGTCAGAAACAAGTGCTCATAAAATTAACACACTTCGTGAAGTGGGGAAGCCATCCAGAGCCCAGCCAAGCTGAGCTAACATGCCAGCAGCGGAGGACAGCGGCTCTGGGGTACCTGAGCTGTCGACAGCCCCAGATCCCTTAAAGCCCTCTCTGTGTCTATTTCCCAACTGCAGAATCTGAAAAAGTAAAGGGGGAAAAAAAACACAGAGGACAATTGTCCAATATACTTCGGTTTTCTGTTTTAAGATTTTGCAGTTGAGGACACTGATCTTGCCCACGTATAGGAGACCGAATGTGCAAGCGCCTGGGAAGTGACATCTGACTCCGAATCACTCTCCTGCGCTCTTTGGCATTTTCTCCAAGCACTGATTCTGTCTCTTCTTTTCTCTCCCTAGGTCAGGATGAAGGCCCAGCCCATTCCGTGTCCCTGCGGGTAAAAGAACAAGTTTAGGGTTGTCCCTTGCCCCACCGCAGTGGTCAGGGCCATGGAACACCAGCTGTGACCCGGGTCACGCTGGACCTCGCTGGCTCAGGAGGGACACCAGGCCCTGAGCTGGACCCAGGCACCACACAGAGGGCCACAAGCACGCCAGCCCGATCCCAGCCCTCTTCTACGGAGCAAGCGGAAAGGCTCCTGACCCAATGTGCCCTCGTGTTACCTCCTGGAGGAACAGCGCCCCGCGGAGGAGAGGAAAGCTCACTGGGAAAACCCAGGAAGCTGCGCGCATCGGCCGGTGCTGCATGCTGAGTGTAGTCGCGTCCAAGCATCCTGCACCCCGGGGGAGTCCGGGACACACACGGCGCTGGGCCTGCGGCCTGGATGACCGCTCTGGAAGAAAGGAACAGCCTTGGGGTTGCGACTTTCCGAGAACCTTCTGGGGCCGCTCAGCCCAGCCAGGGAGCCCAAGCGGTGGCAGCCCTGGCATGACGCGACCCCGGAGGGGCCCCCCAAACAATACAGACAGCAGGTTTGCCTCTGAAGCTTCAGCTGGGGATGCTCCCTGCACCACGGACGTGGTAGCCGCTGACCGCGCGTGGGAGTGAGCAGGGTGAACTCCGGGCTGCCCAGGCTGGGCACAGCGTCACACGACAGGCCCAAGAGCCAGCAGCCGGACCCTACCTATAGGCTGCACCTGGGAGAAGGCGCTGACAGCAGGGAGTGATGGGATTGAGACCCACAGGGGGAGCCGAAGTGGGCCTGCGTACCCCCCTCCCCCCCCCCAGCGTACCAGGTCCTCTCCGCAGACCCTCCCCACCAGGATCTGCCCTGTAGCTACGATCCTGAGAAGACTCGCGTGCTGATCCCATTTCGAGATCACTACTCCAGCGTCAGTGCCTGCAGTCCAAGCACTGTGGAGGTGGAGGCAGGATGAGCCCAAGTGTGAGCCTAACTTGGGGAACTGAGCAACCTCCAAGGCCCTGGTTCAAAATAAACATTTTTGAAAAGGGCTAGGGACGTAGCGAAGGCAAAAGCTCTGACTTCCATTTCCAGAATGGGGGAAAAGTGTGTGTCGCTCCTCTGGCTTTTCTGTGTGTGACAAGTCAGAGAGTAAATCTCTTGGGCTCAAAGGTCTCTGTCCCCACTGCCAAGGATGCTGACGTGTGTGACAAGAGCTACCTAGACAAGGGTGGCTGCATTCTGATAAAATTTTACTTATGGACACCGAAATTTAAATCTCCTATCATTTTCACACATGGTAGAAGAGTTTTCTCCTTTTCAAAAAGAAAGTCCCTCACTGAAAGGCTCTCCCGCCACCTCCCAGCCCAGCATCCACATCTCACGGCCGAAGGCCGAACAGAAAACTGCGGTAGACAGAGGCTCCCAGGAAGCTGAGCGGAGAGCCGGCCACCATCCTTGGCACGGCCCTCCCCACGGCCCTGCAGGCAACGTCCGCCCCACAGGAGCACACGGGCTGCTCATGGACACACATCTAGGTCCCAAGGGTGGCGGCGCTTTCAAGTCCAAAAGGGACCCTTTTGGCTGCTTCCTACTGCACTCTTGGTAGAGGCTGCTGTGCCTCACCCATGCTCCCAGGGGACTTGCCCCGGCTACCAACAGGAAGCAATTTTGGACACTGCGTTTTGGACATGAACCCATCTCCCTGGAAGTCAGATTCCCCTCACCGCACAGCGCCCGCTCAGAACGGTGCCATCAGTGCCGGACACCGCGGGAACCGGGCAGCCCTGCCTGGGACCTCATCTCCCTTTGTCAAAGCAAAGGGAAAGGGCGTGTCTGCACAAGGCCGAAAGACACTGCGGGCTGGGGCTGCCACACACTGGTAGCCCCCGGGGTCAAAGCCAAGCATATTGTCGCTCACAGCTCAGCCTCTCTGTCCCTGCTCCAGTCCCCCGAGTGCCATGGTGCGGGGTGGGGGCTTTCTTGGTCAGTGAGTCAGGGACACTGAGCTTAGGGCATCCAGTGTCCGTGTCACACAGCAAACCAGAGTGCTCTGGTCCCAGAGGAAGCGAAACCTCACTTAGCTCACAGCAAACAACGCGGAGGTCAGGCGTGGGTGGGGAGAGATCAGGGCCCTCGTAGGCCGGCCTGCAAACACGAGACCAGACGCGGCAGATTCAAGCTCAGCTCCAGAAACTCGGGGACTTAGCAAGACACTGCCTCAGACTGGAAGATCATAGAAATAAAAAGGGCTGGGGATGTAGCTCAGTTCAAAGTCAAGGGGTTTAACCCCCAGTATGGGAGATAGAGAACCAGTATATAATGAGTCCTAGATTTTCCAGAAAAACAAAGTGCATTTAAGGTAACTCTTTAGCTTCCAGCCTCAGATTCTCCTGGATATTTTCAAGCTTCTCAACTGGACTTGGCTCTGCCTTCTGAAAGAACATATTATCCAGCCTCCTTCCCTGATGGGAGACACGCAGCTCCAGTGACCGTCCATCTGTAGGCCCCTCCCCACCACAGTTACCTCCTGACTGCGGGGCCAGGACTGCGGGCAGCATTCAGAGCCCCAGACTCGGGGTCTGGGCTGACGCAGCTGTAGTAAGTGTGCAGCAAAGGTGTCTGACTTTAGAGTCCCATCAGCAGCACTCCAGGGCCTCCTCAGGTCACCCCAGCTGCCCACTGCACTAAGGCCGAGCCCCCAGCAGCCCCGCACCTCTGTGCGCCTGGTAAGAGCAGCAGAGCTGGGGAGGACCACGTGTATGTGGAGGGCACACAGAGCCTTCAACCCCTCCTCAGAAACCCCCTGCTAAGAGCGCAGCACCAGCCGTCTACACCATCTGTTCTGCTGAGGTCTGTTGACCCAAAGGTGGCTGCAGCAGGAAAGGCATCTCGGGCAAGAAGGGACACTGGCCGCTGGATCCTCACCCAGCCCAGGGCTTGCCCGCCGACCGGGGGGCCCGGGGCACAGGAAAGCCTGCTTGCGTGTCTTTCTTGATGCCTACCTCACACCCAAATCCCACAATCTGGTTCTTTATCCATGAGCAACAAAGGGGGAGGGGGAGGGGGCTGCAATAAAGAACCTCATTTCCAGCGGCAATCCGAGATCCAGCTCCTAGCTTCTACCGCCTGTCCCTGGCCCTTGTCTCAGGACGTCGCCCAAGGCCCGCTCCTTCCCTGCAGTGTCTGTCCCCATCTCAGGAGGAAACCCAGGCTGCTTCACCTGCAGCAGTGCCAGCGCGAAGACTGAGGCGTCAAGAGGAGTACCGTGGGGCCACCCCCACACGGCACACGGGAAGCGCGGACATGGTGCCCACTACAGAGCTGGCGTGCCCGGCCCGGCTCCCAGAGCTGCACAAGACCCGTTCATTTCCATGGAGGTGAACTTCACTGCTTGGTCTCTAAGGCCAGGCCTGAATTTTCTTTCGTATCAATGTTTCATGCTTATAAGTCTGATGCATCCAGTGTCAGTTCATTGTGATCAAGAGCGACCCACAAGCTGCAGAGTAAAGAGCAAGGACCTCCGATTCACAGGGGCCAAAGCCCTTTTGCACTCTAACCAGGTGACGGACTTTGGCCATGGCACTTCTTGTTTCTGAGTTTCAGTTTTCTCACTGCCAAATGGAACCAACAGGGCTGGGGAGATAGCTCAGCAACGCAAGCATCTGCCTGACAGGTACAAGGCCCTGGGTGGGATCCCCAGCAGCACAAGCCATGCTGGCCCCAGAACCCTGGGCGCACCGTGCAGGTCCCTGGAACTGGGCGTGGTGACATGTAATCCCAGCACTAGGGAAGCCGCGATGGGAGGATCACTATGAGTCGAAGCTGCATAGTGAGACCCTGTACCAAATAAATAAATATCTTTTTAAAAAGAAAAGACCAATAACAAACACCTCTGATCAGTTGCGGGTAAGAGGGATGGCTCACGAGAGGTGCACAATAAATATGTTTTCTCTGCTCCTGCATTTGTGACTCAATAATTTTCAGAAGCTCCAGAGTGTAGGTGGTATCCAGAACCTAGAAATGTCAATAATAGAATTGAATTACGAGAACCAAAAGAAAAGTCAACCCAAACAAAGCGAGAGAGGATGAAAAATAGCAATAAGGGATTAGAATCCACTGTTGCAACTCAACAATAAAATGACAACACAGCTAGGACAGGGTGAAGGATACAAAATGACATTTTACACACTCAAATGGCCAGTAAGGGCTTAACATCGTCATTTAGATAAATGTAAAGGAAAACTGCACGTTACCATTTTACTACTAAGATGATTATAACAAAAAAGACAACGGCGAGTGTGCTTAGGGACATAGATGCTCAACCCCTTCTGTGGGGGCCCTTAGGAGCACCAAGTGGTGTCTGCTGTGGAATCAGTGTGGTGGTTCCTCAGAGCCACTAGTGATTCCACCCCGTGGTGTTCACATGGGAGAGAGAAAACAGCACGTTCATCCAAAATTAGCATATGGAAAATGATGCAAGTTACCACACAGGCTGGACTGCAGCAAGCCCCAGTGCACCCCGGCGGATGGGGTGAATGAAATGTGGGACATCTATAAAGTGGAACATTGTTAAACCATAGAAAGGAAAGAAGTCTTGGCACACGGGATGACGTTACCGTTCGTGGCAAGGTGTCCCCCCAAAGCCTCATGCAGCGATGGGGCGGACTTCTAGAGTCCAGTGCTGGGGCTGCGGGTGTGAGCGCCGCTGGGATTCTAGGCGTGAGTGCTGCCCACCTTGGGCGGTGGCCTGCAGCATAAGGGAGGGGCGGAGGAGGCCTGCTCTCTGCTGCTCTGCCCCTTTTGCTCTGGCTGCCCTTTCTACTTCCTGCCACCATGAACAGCTGCCCTCTGCCATGCACCACCTGGCCCTGGAGCCAGCCAAGTATGGGCTGGAACCTCCACAAACTGTGAGCTAAACAAATCTTCCCTTCCTTAATTTTGGGTGTAGAGTACTTTGTCCCAGCAATGAGTGAAAAGTAACCAAGACAGTCAACATGGATGACTCGAAATAAGCCACGTGTTGGAACTACATGACGTGCCCACATCTGGCGCACTCTAGACAGAAAGTCAATCACGGTTTCCGGGGCCCGCGGGGCCCAGTGCTGCAAGGTTTCTCACTGGGATGCTAAAATTGTTCTCTACTTAAATAGTGGTATTAGGTGCACAACTATGAATATAGTGAAAATCACTAAAATATACATGTTTAACAAGTGAACTTTATTATCTGTGAGTTAAATCTCAATAAAGTTGCTTTTTAAAAAGTAGAACTCACTCATCAAGCCCTACCTCTGTGCAGCAAGGAGCCCAGAGCCAGCGCCTGGGAAGAGCTACCATCCCAGAGACGTCTTTTCTTCTGTACTCTGGTCTGGACACGGTTACCCATTTGCTGACACCGAGCAAAGCAGGGACCCTGGCTCAGCACGGCCTTC